GTTGCGGCCCGTTGCGGTCCGGGTGTGCCGCGGTTGCGGCCGTTGCGGTCCGGCGCGGTTGCGGCGCGGTTGCGGTTGCGGCCCGTTGCGGTCCGGGTGTGCCGCGGTTGCGGCCCGTTGCGGTCCGGGGTGCCGCGGTTGCGGCCCGTTGCGGTCCGGGTGTGCCGCGGTTGCGGCCCGTTGCGCCCCGGGGTGGCCGCGGTTGCGGCCCGTTGCGGTCCGGGGGTGCCGCGGTTGCGGCCTTCTGCGGTCCGCGGGCGCCCCCCTTGCGCCCCGTTGCGGCCGGCTGCGGCCCCTCTCCCGCCCCCGCGGTTCCCCCCCGCCCCCCCCGTCCTTTTCCGCCGGTTCTGTGTTCTGCCTTGGCCTCTGTCGTTTTCCGTCGTTCTCGTGCCCCCCTGGCCTCTCCCTTTGTTTTCGCGCTTCTTGTCCTCCTTCCTTCGTGCGGCCCCCGCCCTGCCCTCTCTTCCTCTCCCCTTCCCCCCCTCCCCCGTCCTTGGCTCCGTCCGCCCCGGCCCTTTGCGGCCCGCTGGGCCTCCCTTTGGCCCTCGTCGTTTTCCCTGCCCTCCTCCTCCCCCCGCTTTGCCCTTTCCCCCGCCTTGTTCCCCTGCTCTCCCCTCCCGGCCCCTGCCCTCCCCTTTGCCCCCCCTGCCCGGCCCCCCCGCCCTGCCCGTGTGCTTTCCGGGCCCCCCCGTGTCTCCTGCTGTCCCTGGGGTTTTTTTTTTTTCCCTCCTCTCGGGGGGGTCTGGTCGTTGCGGTGCCGGTCGCCTTTTTTCGGCCCGTGTTGGGCCGGGCCCCCCTCGTCCTGTCGGCCTCGTCTGCGTGTTCCCGCCGCTCCTCCGTCTTTTTGGGGCCCGGCCTCGCCCCCTCGGCGTCGGCCGGCGGGGCGGCGCCCCCCCGGCCGGCGCCGGCCCTGCCCCCCCCTCCTTGGCCCGTGCCTTCGGTCCCTCGCGCCCCCGTGCCTCTGCCCTCTCCCGTCCGTCGGTTGTGCGTTGCCGCGGCCCGTGTCCCCTCGTCTCGTCCGCTGTTCGTTCCCGCCTTCTGGTGCGCCGTCGGGGCGGCGGGCGGGCGTTCGCCCTGCCCCCGCCCCGCGTCGCGCCGTGCCGCGTCCGTGCCGTCGGGCGTGGGGGTTGCCCGCCCTCGCCCGCGGCTCGCCGTCTTGTCTTGCTCGCGGCCTTTCCTTCCTCGCGGGCTTCCTCCCTCGCCCTCGTTCGCCGCCCCGTCCGGCTCTGCCCGCGCCGGCCCTGCCCCCCGGCCGTGGCCCCCGTTGGGCCCCCCCCCCGTGCCTCTGCGCTCTCCTGTCCGTCGGCTTGTCCGTTCCCGCCCCCGTGTCCCCCCGTCTCGTCCGCTGTTTGTTGCCGGCTGCTTGTGCGCTCGCTCCGCCTCTGCCCCCGCGCCCCGGGCGTTGTCTTCGCGTCGGCCGTGGGGGCTGCCCCCCCTCGCCCGCGGTCTGGTGTTGTCTTGCTCGCGGCCTTTCCCTCCTCGCGGGCTTCCTCCCCCTCCCCCGCTGGCGCGCCGGCCTCCCCCCCCTGCGTCCGGCGCGCGGGGCCCTTCGGTGGTTCCCTTTCGTCCCTCTCGCCGGGGGCGTTCCTGCTGTGCCGGCCCGCCTTGGTGGGGCCTCGTGCCCGGCTTCGTCCGGGCCGGGTTCCTGTCGCTCCTCGCTCCGCGCTTGGGGCGTCTTTTCCGCTGCGCGCCGGTGCGTGCGTGGTTCTCGGCGTGTGCGGTCCGGTTGGCTCCCTGCTCGCGCCGCGCCGTCCTGCCCCGCCCGCCTCTTCCTCCCCGCCGCCCCCGCGCGCCCGGCCTTGGTCGCCCGCCGGCTTCCTTGTGTTGCCTCCTGGCCCGGCCCTGCCGGCTTCCGTCTTCGCACTTTCGTCCCGCGCATCGTCTTCGGCCCCCGCGTGGCTTTTGCGCGGGCCGCCCGGCGCCGGCCTCCCCCGTTCCCCGGTCGTTGCGCCTCGTCGCGGCGGCCTTGGCCCGCGGGCGCCTGTCCGCGCTCTCGGCTTCGGTCCCCCTTGCGGGCCGGGGCGCCGCGCTCCCCTCTGGCCCGTCCCGCCGCGTTTTTGTCCGCCCCCCCTGTCGCCTCGCGCTCGCCCGTGGTCGTTCTCGTCGCCCCTCCCTCGCTCCTCGGCGCGCGCGCGCGGGCGCCGGGGGCGTCCCCGTCGGTCTCGTGCGGCCGCGCTGTCGTCGCGGCAGCTCCCCTTGGTTGCTCCTGCCCGTCGTCCTCTGCTTGTCTCCCGCTTCCGCCCTTGCCTGTGTCCGTCTCCCTCCTTCCGCCTGTGCCACTGCGCCTGGGCTCCTTCCTCCGTTCTCGTTTGTTTTGCTGGTCCCTCCTACCTCGGCTCCCGTCGTCCTTCTCGCGGCTCCTCCGTGCCCCCCCCCCCGCCTTCTGGCCGGGCTGCCTTTCTTCGCTCCCGGTCGCCGCGGGCTCTGCCCGTTGCTTGCGCTGCTTCCTGCTCCCTCGCCGGCTCGCCCGGCCTTCGCGGCCGGCGCCAGCATCCTTCCACTTTCTGCCCTCTCCCCTTTCGCTGGTCGGCTCGTGGCCTCCCCTGGTGGTGCCGGGTGCCGGCGCTTCGGGTTCGCTTCCGGCGCGGGCGCCTGCGCCCCGGCTCCCCCCTCCCCGGCCGGCCGCCGGCGCGCCCCTTCCCCCCTCCTGCCACGCGGGGCGGTCGTGCCCTCACTCCCCTCCCGGGCTCGCTCGCGTCTGGTCATTGGCCTGCGTCCCTCTCCCATCCCTTTCACGCGGCTCCCTTGCGGGCCCGTCTGGGTGCCCGCCGCCGCGGTCCTTCCCGCTCCATCGCGTCTCATTTCCGTTGTTGCCGTTCACCCGCTCGTCGTTGGCCTTTTGGGCTGGGGCCGGCCGGTCCGCCCCCCGGTGTGCCACCGGTCGTCTCGTCCCTTCTGCCGGGCGCTGCGCTCCTGGCCTTCCTTGCCGGGTCGTGCCTCCGGCGCTGTTCCTTTGCCGCCCTTCGCGTGCTCCCCGCCCGCCTCCGCTCTGTCTCCCTTCGCCTGGGCTCCCCTTCTAGGCTTTCGGTCCTCTTCCGTTGGCCTTCGGGCTCGGCGTCCTGCTTCCCGGGCCAGTCGGGGCCTTCGTCTTTCCTCGTCCGCGGTGCCCTTCTTGGCTTTCTGCCCGCCGCCCCCCTGCGCCCGCCTTTGCCCGGCTGTTTTCCTTCCTCCCGCACGCCGTTGGGGGCTCGCCGCCGCTCCGCTCCCGTCCTCGTCTCCCCCTCCCGCTGCCGCCCCGGGCTCGGCGGCTGTTGCTTTTCGGCCTCCGCCGGCCCCTTCTGCGCCATCCCGTCTTTGGGTTCCGGGGGGCGTCTGGTCGCCCAGGCTGCCCTTCCCGGCCTTGCCGGCCGGGCCCCCCCCGGCGTGGCGCCTGCGGCTTCCTTTGCCTCCCCCCGGGGCCCCTTCCCCGGTCCCGCGCCTCGTCGGCTTGCCCGCCTGCGCGCTCTTTCGCGCTTCTCTGGGTGGTGGTGCCTGGCCGTTCTTCGTTGGTGGCGCGCTTGTCTGGTTCCTTCGCGTTCCCGCCCCGCCCTCCGCCTGCTCCTCGCTCTGCGGCGGTCATCCCTCCGCGGCCCGCTTCTTCGCGGGCCTCCGGCCTTTCCCGCCGCGGCCGTTTGACGGCCTCCCGGTCTGTGCTGCCCTTCGCTTGTTCTGGGCTGCCCGCACGTCCCTGCTAGTCTTCCCCGCGCCTCTCGCCTTGCTGCCCGGCCCGGGTACTCTTTGCCCTTTCCTCGTGCTGGGGCTCGCTCCTTGCACTTGTTGGTCTTCCCCGCGGCCTCCTCGTCCGCGCGCGTCCTCCGCTCGCGTTGCCTCCGTCCCTGCCCTTTGTCCCCCCCGCCCGTCGCTCCTCCCGCTTGCCTGCTCCGGTGCCGTGTTCGGCTCGCGGCGCCGTGGGCGGTTTCGCTGCCCGCGCCGTCGCGCGCCGTCCCCTGCCCCTTCTCCTTTCGCGGCCGGCGCCGTCGTCCCCCGGTTTCCGTCGGTGCCCCTGCGGCCGGCTCCTTGTCGCCCCTGCCCCGCCGCCCGCCCACGCGCCCCCGTTTGTTCTTCCCTTCTCGTCGTCCGGCGCCTCGTCTCGGGCGCTCCCCCCCCCCCCCGGCGCGGCCCGCGCCCCGGCTCCCGCCTCGCGCCGGCCGGCCGCCCTTGCCCCGGTTCTCGCGGCTCGCTCGGGCGGCGTCGGCGTCTTACCTTCCCCCCCTCCGCCTCTCGGCCCCGGCTCTCTCGGCTCTCGCCTCGCTGCCGCCCGTCGCGCCCTGCGCTCCTTGGTGTGCCTTGGCCGCCTCCCGTGCCCCTCGCGTCTTTGCACCGCCCGTTGCGCCCGCCGCCGTTCGGCCGCGGGCCCGCCTGCCTGGGCGTCCCGCCTCGCGTCGCCCCCCTTGCCCGGCCCCTCGGCCGCGCTTGGGGGCGCGGTTGGTGGCCTCCCGTGCTCCCCTCCCTCGGGGCCGCGGCTGGCTCCCCTGCGCGTCCCTGGCGGCGGCCGTCCCGGCGCGTGGTGGTCGTCCCCAGCGTGCCTCTCTCCGCGCCGTGCCCCCGTCGTCCGCGGGCGCCCGCCCCTTCGCCGCGCCGCGTCCGTGCGGCTCTCCGCCCGCGCCCCCGGTCCGGCGGGCTTCCCCGCTGCGTTTCCGCCTCTCACTCCGCGGCGGCCCGCCCTTCCCACGGCTTCCCCTCGTCCCGGCGCGCGCCCGCGGGCCCCGCCCCGCCTTCGCCTCGGCCGGCCTTGCCGTCGCCTTGTCGTCTGGCGCCGCGTCCTCCGCGGCGGCCCGGGCCCCGTCCCCTGGCACGGGGCGCCGGCGCGGGTGCGCGCCCCGTTGTGCCCGGCCCCCTGTCGCCCCCGCGGCGCTGTCTCCGCGTCGGGTTGTTTGGGCCTGCCGCCCCCTCGGGCGGTGCCTTCCGTCCCCGGCTCCCTCCGGGCGCGCGCCCGCTCGCGCCCCGTCCCGCGCGGGCCGCTGCACCGGCCTTTGCCCCGCGCGTCCCCGCGTGCTTGCCCTTGTCGGCGGGCCGCGGCTGGCGACCCGGCGCTGCGCCCCCGGTAGTCTGTGGCCCGGTGCGCGCCGGTCCGGCCGCTCTCCTCGGGCGCCGCCCCGCGCGGCTTCGGGGGGCGGCCCCCGCCCGGGCCTTTGCTCCGCCCGCGGCCCGTCGTCTCTCGGCTCGTGGGCCGCCGCGCGCGCCCCTGGCGTGCCTCGGCCCCTGCGCGCTCCGGTCGGCTGGCCTGTGGGCTCTCCCTTCGCCCCGTCTTGCCACCCGGCCCCCGGCGTCTGCCCTGTGTGCGCGTCCCCGGGCGCGTCCCCCGTCCGGCGCCCGGCCGCTGCTTGGCGGGCTCCCCTCCCGGGGGTGCCACCGCCGCCCGCCCTTGCTCTTTTGCGCCGGGTTCGCGTGCGCGCCTCCCTGTCGGGCCCCGCCCGCTGGTGCCCTCTGCTGCGCGGGGCGCCGCCCGCGGCCCCTCTGGTGGCGGCCGCCGCGCTCCTGCCGTGCCCCTCGTTCGTCTGCCTTGGGTCTCGGGCGCCCGCCTCACTCGCCCCGTCTCGTCGCTGGTTCCCTCCGCCGTTTCCCTCCGGCTCGCTGGCGCTGGCGCGCGCGTTCTCTCGGGTCCAGCCCCTGCTTCGCGGCCTCGGGGGCGTCCCGCCCTCGCCCTCTTCTCACCCTTTCCCTCGGTCGGCCGGCGCGGCTGCTTCGTTGCGCCGCGCCCCGGCCTCCCCCGCTCCCCGTGGGCCCTTTTTGGTCCGCCGCCCTGGCGCTGCGGGCATGCCCCGGCCGCCGGGTTCCGGTGCCCCCCTGCGCGCTCCCCTCGCTCCCCCCCCGGGTGTTGGTCGCTTCCGCCCGCGGCCGGTGGTCCTGGCCGTCGCCCTCCGCTCCGGCGTGTGTCCCCCTCCACCTGCCGCCTCCCCTCGCCCCGCCCCTGGCTGGCGCTTCCGCGCGCGCCCTCTCCCCGGGCCCGTCGGGGCCCGCGCTCGGCCCCGCTGCGTCGGCGGGCGCGGCGGTCGCTGCCCCCCTTGGGCGTGCGCCGGGCGGCGCGGCCGTCGGTGCCGCTTCTTGGTGGTCGTCGCCCCTCTTCCCCTGCGCCCTTTGCCGGCCGCCCGGGGCCCGGTTCCCTGTGCCCGGCCCTTGCCCTGGGTTCGTCGATCCTCCGGGTCGGGGGCCGCCCGCCCAGCCCGCGCGTTTTGCGCGTGCGCCGCCCGGGCCTCGGGTTCACCTTCCTGCCCCGGGCCGTGGCGGTTGCCGGCCCCGTTCGGGCTTCCGGCGCCGTCGGCGGGGGCCTCGGGCCGCGTTCTCTTTTCTGTTTCCCCGCCTGCCCCCCCTGGCCCGGCTCCGGCCGGCGGTCGGGTCCCGGCGGCTGGCCGCGCCGCCGGCCCGTCGCCGTGGTGTCCGGTGCGCCCGCCGGCGGCCCTTGCCCTCCGGCGGCCCGCGTGCCGTCCCCGCCCGGTCGTCACTCCTCCCCGCCTCCGGTCTCCCCGGTGCACCCGCCTCTGGCCCTGGCCCCTGTCGGCCCGGGCCGTCGGCCCCTGGCTCCGTCCCTTCGGGCCCGGCTTGGCTCTGCGGGCTGGGCCCGGGGGTCCCACGTCCCTGCCCCCCGTCGGCTGTTCGGGGCGGCCTGCTCGCGCTGCTCCCGGCGGCGCGCGCGGGTCGCCGCGTGCCGGCCGGGGGCCGGCCTGGGCCCGGCTCTTTCGGGGGCCTTCCCCGGGCGTCGCCCCGCCCCCTCCGCCCTGGTCCGGCCCCGGGGCCTCCGCCTGTTTCACTTCCACCCCGCCTTGCGCTGGTCCCTGCGGCTGCTCCCGCCCTGTGCTTTCTGCCCCGTGCTCTGCCTGTCCCCGTGCCGCCTTCCCCCCGCGGCGGGTCCCGGCGGGCGTCCCTCTGCCTCTCTTCCGGTCGCCCCCTGCCTCGTCCTCTCCTTCGTGCGCGCCTGCCTGGCTTCCCGCGCTTCCCCCTGTCCCTGTCTCCTCTCCCGCGCCACCCCGCCACGGGCACCAGGGCTTGGCCGCCTCCGCGGGGCCACGCCGCCCCTGTTGCGCTTGCCTCTCGTCGCGCCTTTTGTGCCCTGCCTTGCGCGGTGTCGGCTCCGTGGGCGCCGCCCGGCGCCCGTGCCCTCCCCCTCCTTTTCCCGTTCTTTTCCTTCTTCCGTGACTCGGCGGCGGGGCCTTGCCCCTCTTTTTGGCCCCCCGGCTCGCTTGCGGGCCGCTCCGGGCGGCCGCCCTTGTCCGGTGGGCGTTTGGCTGGGGCGGCCCCTCTGTTCCCGCTCCCGCCGGTGTCCTCCGCTGCGCTCCCGCGCCCCCATCTCGTGTGGCCCCGCCGGTCCCCGCTCGGTTTGCTTCTGCTTTCCCGTCCGCCTCCGCCCCGTGCCCGCGTGGCCTCCCGCTCCTTTCGCCCTTCGGCCTTCGCCGCTCGCGGTGTCCGCCCCGTTCCCCCCGGGCTCCCTGGCTTGTGGCCGCCCCGCGTTCCTCGCGCCGTTGCTTTTTGCTCCTTCGCTGTCGGCTCTTCCTCTCCTTGTGCCGCCGCCTTCCCCCCGTGTTGGCTTGTTCCCCCCCCCCTCGGGCCCGTGCGCTGGGTTTCGCCCGTCGTGCGCCCGGTTCGTTTTCCCCTCCTGCTGCCCGTGTCGCCCTCGTCCTTCCCCCTCGTCCGCGCGGCCCCGTTGCTTCGCCCCTTGGTCCTCGCGCTTGTTGCCCCGCCCGTGGCGCGCCGCTCCCGTGCGTTGGCTTCTGCCTGCCCGCCTCTCCGTCCGCCTCCGGGCTCGCCCGCCGCCTGCGCTCGTCGCCCGTTTGCCGCCCCGCCGTCGGGGCCCTTTGGCCCCCCGGGCCCGTGTCGTTGGCTCCGCCGTCGTGGCGGCCGGGTCCCGGTGGCCGCCTTGCCTTCCCCTTCCGCTCGCGCGGCGCGCTGCCTCCTTTGCCGCCGCCTTCCCTCCGCGCCGGGGTCTTGTCCGGGGTCGCGTGGCCTTGCTGCCCCGCTCCTCTGCGCTTCCGCCCTTTGTCGCTCCGCTTCGTCCCTCCCCCCCCTCTCCCTCCCCCTCTCCTCCCTCCCTCTGCCCTCCCCTTCCCTCCCCCTCTTCCGCGCGCGGTTCCCCTTCCCCGCCTGGTTCGGCTGTCTCCGTGCTCCTCCCGCACCCCCGGCTTGCCCCCTGGCTCCGTGTCCCCGTCTTCCCCCGTTTCCCGTTCTGTGTCCCCGTGTTTCGTGGCCCCGGCACTTCGCCCCGTTTCCCTCGCCCTCCCTGTGTTGGTGCCTCCGTTGCGGCCCGCTGCGGCCCGCTGCTCCCTCCGTGCGGCCCTCGTTGCGTCCTCCGGTGGGTCCGCGGTGCCTCCGTTGC